ATGTCATTTTTTGGGAGTGAATAGCCCTAATGTTAGCTTAGTCAAGGAATTAAGGGAAATGAATTGACCTATGGTATACTTTAAAAAAGAAAAAAAGATGATAATCTTCGGGCTTGGGGTGAAGGTATCAGTATTTTCAGGTCAAAAGGCTCAAGTGGAAGCGATGTCACTAGTCCTTGGTGTTAAAGTCCAAGTCGAGTTACAGGTCTTCTTTTATTTTGTGAAATCGAGTCTAAAGTTGGCAAATTTGTGACTCAAGTCCAAGCCATGCGACTGGATTTGACACATCTGCTACTTTGTCAATTTTGCTTCAAAGGTTTGGGATTGTGAACTCAATAAGGTCTGAAAAATCCAAAAATTCCAAAGTAAAATCCTAAAATTCTTCTGGTTTGCCTCTGTCAACATTCATCCACTGGTGACTGATGACATGAGCCATGAGATGCAGAGGAAAACGTGGTTGCCTCCTGAAAAGGGGAGGAGTATAGAGGGGAAGGAAGGTGGGGTGGGTGCTTAACTCAATTTTTCAGTGGGTGTTTGTTTGTTTTAATCTGTGAGAGTGTGCCTTTTAAAGACACACATGGGTATTAAGACCAGAGACAGAGACTCTGGACCCCCCACCTCCTCTGCCAGAAAAAATCTGTATGAGTTTGTGTATGAAACAGGATGATGAACTAAGAGAGGGGGTTATATGTGGTTCAAACATATACAATAGTTGCTGTTTCTTGCAGGGATGGGTTACAAATGCTTCCTTGAAAAATCACATGATGAGCTCCAGTCATCCCAGGTGGATAGCGAGGTCTGAGGGGAGAGTGAGCGGATGAGGTGGGGGAGGGGGGGGTCATTCAGAACAGCTGAAGAAAGGATAGCGGAGGTGGGAGGAAGAGGGAGGCAGGGGTGGTCCTAACATGACATGTGTGTCAGTCTGTTGAAATGTGTGTGGAGCCCTCTTTTCTCCTCATACTGGCTGAGAAGCACTGGAACAGAGGGAGAGCTACAGAAAGAGAGACACAGCTTCTGCCCTCAGGCTGAGTGAAGACGGAGCCAAGAAGCAGATATTACTGAGTGTGTGTAGAATTGAAGGAAAACTATAGAGCAAATAGAAATATTTTTTTAAATCCTCTATTTTTGTAATTTTTTTTTTAAAAATTGTAGAAAGATTTTTGGACCTCTACCAATGCTTGGAACAATAACTTTAACAGGTAAGAACAAGGATTCAGTAAATTTAACATTGTAAAAATTTACAAGTAAATTTCAGCTTTTCTAAAAATGTGGCTGCTTTCTAGTGAAATAGCAATATAATTGAATATATATAAGGTGAAACAAGTAATTTATTTGGGATATGCCTAAGACCCAAAGCAGTAGTTTCTACTTCCATGAGTGAGTATAGCTGAAGGCATTGTCGTCCCGAGGGTGTGGTTACTTAGCATAGTGGTTTGTAGATGCTCTGGCTTGGTGGGTGATGGTCTAGCCTTGCTCAACGCATAGCCCCATCATTTATCCAGTAAAATAATGTTTCAATGTTGTTGTTTTTGTATTTCATTAACTTTGATTTAACAGTTTTATCACCTGTAGCTTTACAGAGTGTGTATAAGAAAGCATCTCTCCTTTTCTTCCCCCGTCAGTAGCCTTATAGTGTACCTTTTTTTATCAACTACCTTTCATAGTGTATTGTCTCTGTGCAAAGCCAGCTGCTGAGTGCTATTAACTCTGAAGTATACATCCTTTATACCGCCAAAGTTCCTAGTAGGAAAAGAATTTCACACCCCGGCAGCTGCCAGATAGAAATGTATGAAGATGCATTTATAGAAACATTTTTAAAGGCTACTTTTAGCTCACATTCCCGTCCAAGCCAGCTCCCTCTGTCCCGTCGTGAAGTATTTCATTAGATTAGAGTAGGATCCTAATTCCCAGTGGGGTTTTTCAGCTTAGCCACGGAGGGTAGGGAGGGAGGCGTATGAAATTAATTGCATGCCAAGACTGATTCTTCTTCAGTTCTTATAACTGGGAGTGATGGTTGAAATGGAGCAGGGTTGGAATGTTTTGCTTTGTGGTGACCCCAGGTTTTGGTTTCTGCACATACATAGTATATAAATAGATGGACAGTTGTGTTTATTTTTTTCATATTTGCTTTGGGATAATTCACATCAGACTTGATGTTTGTAAGGAAGCTGTTGCAACAGTGGGTTTTGTTAGTCCTGCTGATGTGTTGGGTCCCCTGAAGACACACTGACCACACCTTTGATACAGAGATGGGGTGCTGGTGGGGGAGGGTGTGGGGGTGTCTGCTTGACCTCTTTTTAACTGACTTCTATTGTTTAAAGGGCTTCAACTCCAGACTATGATAATTAAAAGAAGGATTTGCATACATTTGGCAAAGTTTGTAAATTGTGTGTAGAAAGAATAGCTGCCCCCCACCCCCCCCACCACACCCAGACAACACAAACCCACAGAAGTGCTGAAACAGCCACAACAGAAACACTATCTGATCTCTCTGGAGACTGGAGTAGATTTACAACAATCGTTTTTTGGCTGCTGCGATGATATTTAATATGAGAGCATCACCTTACCACATGCTCTCACACTCGCACATAAACAAAGCCTGTCTCCAGCCGAGAGAAGCATCTCGACTATGAATGTATGTGTCCGACATATGCAACACCCTCTAAAGTGAGTTAGGGCTTTGGCCCCGGGGCAGACCCCCTGTCTCTCCTACCCCCCAACGCCATCCCCTTCATCTCCTAACTGTCCCCTCCTCGCCCCCTGTAGCCTCACCCCTCACACTCGCATTCTTTCTGGTACAGTCGTTATTCAAAACACCCGCCCCCCTCCTCCACCACACATTAACCCCCTACACAAACCAAATCAGTCTACGGATGTTAACAGTTGTGTGCCTGTGTAGTAAAAGAAAAGTTGGGCTCGGAAGATCAAAAAGACAGGAGAGATGCCAGTAGTCTGTTAAATCAACATGGTTCCTGTTTTATTATCCATGTAGATACACATGGCCTCGTCTGGCTCACTAACAGCATGACCCCTCCCACACACACACACACACATACACACACGTCTTCATTCAAAGGCTCTTAACTGCACTGGAACTTCATTAAAAACTGTTAAGAGGAACTTGCATTGTGTACACTGTCAGGGATTGTGCTATTCAGGCCTAATTGTGCTGAATTTGTGTTTGTGTTCAGGTTTCGTATTAGATAAACACAGACTAGTTTTATGTGTTGTTTTCCTGGTTTTACTAGCTTGCTCAACAGCTGTGACTGTACCATGAAAGTAACACCTACCTGAGAGAGAGCCACTACAATGTGACAGTTCTGATGTATTTTATAAACCACCTACCATTCTTTATTCATGTTTACACCATTTTGGTAAAGTCAGCAAACTCCCCCCTCATGCTGCAGTGTGTCTTGATAATAGAAAAAGTTGACCACCCCCCCTTCCTTTATTTTCAGAGGCCAGAGAGGGTTAGGGGGCTATTGTGTTTGCATGAGTGTGTGCCTCGGCATGGGGGTGGGTCCCCATCCATCCTGCTGTGGTGGAATTTGGGTCAAGGAGATTGGGACTTTTTATTTTAAGGAGGGGTGGTAGTAGTAGTAGTAGTAGTAGAGGCTTGTATTGTTTGGTTTGAATCCTGCAGTCTAGACACGGTTTAACCGAAAAACAAATTCTCAAAGTCCCCTGGCATTTAAATTCAGATTATGTTTACAGCATCTTAAAATACTGTTCCCAAACACAGAGTGAACAGCATAGCTCACATTCCTCTCAAGTCACATCTATACATAAGATACACGGGTGTGTCCTTAGTAATAACATTAGTGTACGAAAGCACTTAATTATTTTATCATACAAATTTAGTGCAAAAAGCTGCAGTGTTTGGTGAGGTTTTACCTTATTGTCTTGAAATAATAGTTTTACTATTTTAAAGCTAAAATATTCCAGGAATGCAGTGCTACTGAGTGAAGCCTCATGCCTATAATTTTAGAAAAGGATGTGGACAGATGTGGGCGCGTAGTTTTACATTTTTGTGTGAGACAAAGACACAATCGACTTTCAGATTTATTTACAACAGAATCCAATTTTTATTTTTTGCATTGTCGTCTTGCATATCCGTAAAGGCAGTAATTCCCACAGTGTGTTGGTTTTAGAGAGTGCATGTGTGGCTTTGTGTTTCCCAGTGTGTGTAATCAGGTAAGTTGATAGCCAGGCATTAACAGTCCTGGGGATTTGTTTTGAGAGTCCAGGGGTATCAGATGTTATGTTTTCCAGACTGTGGTGAGATCTGAGGAGAAAGGAAGTGAAAAAAATTAAGGAAAGCTTAAAACACTGGCAGGTCGTCATCCCCCTACGCCGTCCTCTGTCAGAGCAAAGGCAGACATTGTGTGTAGTGTTGCATGTGTGTATTTGTCTCTTATCACAGCTGATGACTCTACATTTGTCTTACATTTGTACCTACCAGGGAATTACCCATAGTATTATAATCATCCAGCTAAACCATCAAAAGAAAGTTCACACTATACACCATTGCAAGGTTCTGTTTTGTATCTGTGTTTTGAAACAATAATCCAAAATTTGCCAAAAAACATCACTCTCATTGTGCAATGTTTTCCATGAAACGCCCTTTGGGGATTACTTTATTTGTTTCAAGGCCTAAACTTTAATATTTTTTGGCGTGTTTACATAGTGCAGGATTAGCTGGGCCAAATTGCAATCTAGTCGCAATTAAGTAGTCATATGCTTGATAAAATCTGCTCAAGGGTTCAGGGTCTCAGCGAATACTTTCTGTACAATGTCTCTGATTAAATGCAGATGGAATTGAGACATCCTCCTGTTTTTTAATGAGTTTTTTCCTTTTGAGTAGTGATATCAAGATTCCATTCTATAAAAATAACATGGGAACACTGTGCAGCACAGTAAGACCTTCAGAAGAAATGGTAAAACTGAAAAAAACTGATCAATATCCTTATCAAAGTTCTTTCTTATTTTTGTCTTTTCAGTTGGCCAACCAGATGGTGTGACTCAGAAGGAGGAGGCTCCTGAGGCTATGGACACCATCCAGGATGAAGTGGCTCCCCAAGTGAACGGCGAGAAAGTGGAGAAGGAGTCCCCTGATGCCAATGACATCTCGGCTGTTGAGGAGAAAGCAGCTGAGGAGAAACCTGATGAAGCCAGCGAGGTGGGCTTCAAGAAGATCTTCCGCTTTGTGGGCTTTAAGTTCACACTGAAGAAAGACAAAAGTGAGGAGAAAGATCCCGTGAAGCTTCTGACAGTCAAAGATAAAGAAGAAGAGGAGGTGAGCGGGACTGACAAACCTACAAAGGAGGAAGAGACTACCACTGCTGAGGAGAAGAGCACAACGGAAGAAAAGGAGGCTGATACAGAGGTGTCTACTGCTGAGGCTGAAGTCAGTAAAGATGACAAAGCTGAAACCACTGATGCCCCAGCTGAAGGCCCTGCAGCTGAAGCTACTGATGAAGCAGTCAAGGAGGAAGGAGCTGAGAAGGAAGGAGAGAGCACCATGTCCCCCTTCAGAAGGCTCTTCAGTGGAGGACTCTTCTCTAACCTGAGAAAGAAAGCCAGCATCAAGAAGACAAAAGAGGAGGAAGACAAGGAGGCAGCTGCTGAGAAGGAGGCAGCTGCTGAGAAGGAGGCAGCTGCTGAGAAGGAGGCAGCTGCTGAGAAGGAGGCAGCTGCTGAGGAGGAGACAGCTAAGACCGAAGAAACTGCTGCTGCTGAAGAAAAGGAGGAGAAGGTTGAGGCAGAGCAAGAAACTAAGGAGGCGGAGGCACCAGCCACCCCAGAGGAAGTGAAATCAGAGACTGCCCCAGAGCCAGAGATCACTGTTGTATCCACTGCTGCAGAAACTACTGATGAGACCAAACAAGAAGAGGATAAGGCTGAACCTAGTTCAGAGGAGGAGAAGCCTGCAGCAGAGGTGACTTCTGAAGCTGAGCAGCTTTCATCACAGGAGAAGGCTAAGCCCCAGGGAAGCCCCCTGAAGAAGCTTTTCACTGGAGCTGGCTTGAAGAAGCTCTCAACTAAGAAACAGAAGACCAAGAAAGAAACTGAGACGAAGCTCACAGAGTCTGGGGAGCGGGAGGCTGAGCAGCTTCAATCCTCCACTGAGTCAGCAGAGGCTCCAAAAGCTGACAGTGGACCACCATCGCCTGAGGAGTCAGGAGAGCATGTTATTGCTGTCGAGGTGACCCAGAATGAGTCGAGTCAGGAGACTGATGGTGAAGTTGCCTCTGATGGAGAGAAGAAAAAAGAGGGTATCATTGCATGGTCTTCCTTCAAGAAACTAGTAACACCCAAGAAGCGTGTAAAAAGGTCTTCTGAGAGTGAAGATGAAGCCACAGGTGAGAAACAAGCAAAGTCAGCCACCCTGTCCTCTTCTGAGAGTGCTGCATTAGCAGATAAGAGTGTTGACGAGGAGACTAAGGAGGATAAACCAACTGAGGAAGAGCCAAAGACTGAAACAACCGAGAAACTGGTGAGCAGCACCGAGGAGCCCAAAAAGAAAATGGACACCTCTGTCTCCTGGGAAGCTCTTATGTGTATGGGTGGACCCAAAAAGAGGACCAGGAAGACCTCTGATTCTGACGATGAAGAGACAAAGGTTGAGGAGGAAGCGGCAGCAGTAGAAGGGGAGCAAGAGGGCAAAACTGAGGCTGCCATTGTCAGTTCCCAAACCACAGATAGTGATGGAGAGATTGCTTCCTCCCCTGAGAGAGAGTCCACCTGGGACACACTGAAACGCATGGTAATGTCAAAAAATAAGACCAAAGCTGAGGAAAAGCCAGAGGAGACTACAGAACAAGTCCAGTCAGACAGTGAGGCACCTAAAGATGAGTCGTCGTTCTCTTTGAGGAAGCTTTTCCCTGGACGCAGAAAGAAGAAGGCTGATAAACAAGCCTCCACTGAACAGGGCTCAGGTGAGGAGGACTCTGACACCCCAGCTGTGGTTCCTCTCTCAGAGTATGATGACAAAGTTGAAGCTGCTGAACCAGAAGCACCAGTAGCACCTGTTGAAATCCAGATTAAAGTGACCTCTGAAGATAGAGCCCCTTCATGGATCCCAGCCAATATCGAAGATGGTGAAGATATACACGATCAGCTGAGTGACATTCCAGAGGAGGCTGAAAATGTTGCCACTCCAAAGTCTGTGGACACTGACATTGCAGAGGATGAAACCGAGGACAAGGATAGTCTGTCTCCAAAATCTGCAGGGCACACAGGGCGCAGATTGTCCACAGCTGAGGTGATGCCTGTTGCTCCAGCTCCATCTGCAGAAACAACTCCTGTTCCTCAGGGACCCAAGCCAGAGAGCGCTGAGGAGGTTATTGAGGGCATTGAGGCCCAAATCAACGAAATTCCACCCCAGACAGGTGTGACCACTGAAGATGTACCAATAGAGGCAGCTTCTGAAAAAATAGAGTATGAACCACCAACTGAGAGTGCAGAGTCCAAGATAAACACCATCCTGGAGCCACACACTCATGACGAGGCCATGGCTATCTGCACTGGCCTAGGAACCAAGGAGATTGCCAAAGTAGCTTTGGAGAAACCTGCAATGCCCATCATAGAGCCTGTGGCCGTGATCCATGATGCTGTAGGCAGAGAGGTGTCAGTGGAAGAGAAGCCAGCACGTACAGAGGAAGTCGCAGTTACTGAAGATTCAGTGCTCAGTGCCCAAGTGCACCAAATAGAAATCGCCAAGCTTGAGCCTGCTGTTGAGAGTTCATCAGGCGAAACGTCAGAGGCTCAAGTAGCCACTCAGAGCTATGAACCCAAGATTGAGCAGGTTGGAATTGTCAGCACTGTTCTTGAGGAAAGTGAAATCATTCAGACTACCACCACTAGTGAGAACTCTCCTAAAGCTGTTATAGTCGATCCCATCGTACCAACATCTGAAACAGCTGTTTGTACACAGAGCATAGAAGTCAATGAGCCAACTGTAGAGACCAAGGAAGTGAAAATGGACCTGGAGCAACTTGCTGCCACTGAAGACAATACTGCTGAAGAGGTTATTCAGTATGTGACTGAAGATACATCCTCCACCATATGTGAAATCACAAAAGCCAGCATCACAGAGGAGACTGTGCCAGAAGCTGTACCAAGTGAGGAGGGTCCTGTTATCACTGAATCAATAGTTCTCGAGGCTCCAGTCAGTGCGGTAACATCAGACATAGTGAGCATGGAAAATGCACCAGAGCCAGTTGGTGATGAATCAGTCCAGGTGCAGGAAACCAAGGAGGAGGGTGCAGCTGAAGAGAATGTGGAGGCAACTACCGCACAGACAGAGTCAGAGATCAGTGAAGGGACAGAGCAGGTCAGCGAGAAGATTGAGGAAATCAAGGAAGACGTCCAGCAGACCAGTGAAATTGAGGCTGAAAGTATGGTCATTGCCCAATCTGTCATTTTGGATGCCATGGATAAAGTTTCAAAGGAGGCACCTGAACCCAGCACACCAACACCTGTCCAGGCTGTAGCAACAACAGAGGAAGAGATCACAACAGAGACCCCTGTTATCTCTGAGACCCCTGTTGCTGTCATCTGTGAAACACCAGCACCAAAGTCACCTCAGCTGCTCAGAGTCGCCGTCGAGGTTATTGACTCAATCCCAGTGGAGGTCACAGAGAGTCTTGATGCCCCTGTGGAGGAGGAGAAGAAACCAGAAGAAGGGTTAAAGAAAGCTGTGGAAGTAAAAGTAAGTGAAGAGACTGTCGTAGTGGAAGAAGTGGAGGAGTTAAAGGAGGAGAGTCAAGAGGAGGTCAAGGAGGAACAGAGCAAAGAAGAAGCAGAGGTTCAGGAACCAGATGTTAAAGAAGCAGCCGAGGAAGTCAAACCACAATCGGAGGAAGCAAAGACAGAGGCCCCTTCAGAGCAGAAAGTGCTTGAGATTCACATGCCGGTCCAAGTGGTCCTGCAGACGGCCCAAGTGGAGGAACTGTCGGTGGAGGAAGAGGCTGTGGAGGAGTTCGACAGCAACTGCCCTGTGGCTGAAGACACCAGCGTAAAAGTAAAAGCTGAGAGTGCCGGAAAGAAGCTCTCAACGGTGTCAGAAGAAGCTCAAGCCACAACCTCAGCAGAGGTTCCCGCTCCCAGCCAAGTCACAGAGGAGGAGAAGGCAGAAGCACCATCAGGAAAGTGTGCAGAAGTGATGGCTCAGGTGATCGAGGTGATCGAGGAGGCTGTGAAGGAGATTGAGCCTGTGTCCACA